GCTCTGGGACGACCGACAACTTTGAAGCGTTCCACGCCCTGCCATCCTCAAGTCGGTACGTCCATCTCCCGACCTGCTTGATTATTCGCATTGGAGGAGTGAACGCTGGGCTTCCCTTGCGTATATGGCCCGGCTTTTTTACCCTAACGAGATCACCCACTCTAAAACGCGGTGTCTTGGCCGCCCGTCTTCCGTCAGTGTAGAACCCGCTCTTCTCTTGTCGTTGCCATACGCGGTCGCGCATTCGCTGCATTTCCTCAACAGGGTTCTTAAGAAACTTCGTGTACGAGAGTCCAAGGATGTGTAGCCTGTTGCGCGGCTTGCGACCGTGGAGGAGAAGAGTGGGAGAAAGTCCTGTAGTAGCGTGCGGTGTACACCGATAAATGAAAATTTAGTCAAGAACTGCGGCTTGTAGCGATCGGTTCTCGAGTGAAGCACACTGTACGTAGGACTTGAATGTGCGATTAAATCTTTCAACTTGCCCATTGGCTTGCGGGTGGTAGTTCGAGACCAGCTGGTGCTTTATACCACAATGAGCCAGGAACCTCTTAAACTCCTCGGACGTAAACTGGGGCCCGTTGTCACATACGACACTCTCTGGATACCCCTCGCGCGTGAAGACCATATGTAGAAAATTTGTCACCGCCTTAGTGGTGACGTTAGGGCAGAAGTGTACTTCCGGCCACTTGGAGAAGTAATCGACCAACGTGATTACATAGCGGAGAGCCGGTGGTGCTCTCTCGAAGGGACCGACAATGTCAATTCCGACCTTCGACCACGGCCGCTCTGGCAGTGGGACTGGTTGCAAGGCTGTTGGCGATGTCTTCGCGCTTTTGTCAGCGGTTCTGCAAACACCACATGCTTGTACTGCCGCTTTTACGGCCGCGTTCATGCGTGGCCACCAGTAGAGATCACGAAGGCGAGCCTGTGTCCTGACGATGCCTGGGTGACCCTCGTCACCCAGGCATCGTCAGGTACTACACTATACTTCAGGAGGCGTGTCGACCACCGAGTGATGCGGAGTGGACGAAGTCCAGTTCCTCGTGTGCTCAACAGCGACGCGAGAGCCTGGTGGTCTGTGCGTAAGGTGAAACGGCGACCCCAGAGGTAGGCGTGCCATTTCTCGCACGCCCACAAGCAGGCAAGGGCTTCTCGCTCTCCCGTGGAGTACTTGCGCTCAGCCGGAGTGAGCGTACGTGAAGCGAAGGCGACAGTCTGAACTTCCTTGCCGTGAAGCTGCTGCAGCACTGCTCCCAGTCCATAGGCGGAAGCATCCGTGGCTACGATGACGGGCAGGCCTGGATTGAACATCTTGAGGGTTTTAGCAGATGACAGCAACCTCTTCACACGCCGGGAGCTCTGGTCCGCATCTTGATCCCAAATGTAAGGCGTGTCCTTTCGGAGGTACCTACGCAGAGGCTCCACCTCTGAAGCCAGATGGGGTAGGAAACGAGAATAATATTCAACCATACCGAGAAACGATCTCAGTTGCGTCAGATCTGTTGGAATAGGAGCAGCCTGTAGGGCATCCACCTTTGGTTGCAAAGGGGCAATTCCGGCTCCACTAACTTTGTGTCCCAGAAAAGAAAGTTCTGTGACGTCGAAAACACACTTGTTGTTCAGCTTTAGGCCCACTTCAGAAATCCGTTGGAGCACTTCCCGCAGACGTTCCAGATGTTCCTGTGGGGTCCTGCCAAACACGACAATGTCGTCGAGGTAAAACAAAACCCCTTGACAACCATGCAGGATCTTGGACATCATATTTTGAAAAATTGCTGGAGCGGAAGCCAAGCCGAAACATACTCTTTTAAAGCGAAACAGCCCATCGTGTGTGATAAACGCTGTGATATCACGGCTGTCGGGATGTAAGGGCACTTGGTGGTATGCTGCTGCAAGGTCCAATTTCGAAAAGTGATGTGCGCCGTGAAGCGCATTCAGTAGCTCTTCGATGTGTGGGAGGGGGTAGCTGTCAATTACCACCGCTTTGTTTGCGCTACGGAGGTCCACGCACATCCGAATGGTTCCGTCCTTTTTCTGTACTACCACAATTGGTGACACCCATTCTGAGGCATTGATGCGTTCAATGACCCCTGCTACTTCTAGACGCTTAATCTCTTCCGAAACAGGTTGGCGAGCAGTTTGTGGAATTCGCCTCATGCGATGTTTGACAGGTGGAACTGAAGGACGAATTCTCACCTTGCACTCAATTCCCTTGACTCTACCCAGGCCAGAAGTGAACAGGTAATTAAAGTGCTCAAGACACGGTGGAAGTTTCGGCTGTATAGATGCAGGCTTTGCCGGCGTAGCTGCGGACGGTGGCATCACTGTCGCCCGTGCTTGTGGCTGTTGCCGAGCCGCCCACTCTTCCTCCAGCGCCGCCGAAATTCATCCGGTGGTGACGGTACGGCGGTTGATATTGAAGAATCTGGTTGTCGACCTTCTACGATGTCAGCAGTCTGTGTTTGTAACAGAGAAGGATCTTACGGGCTCGATGACGCTTCGTCAAGTTCGCCGGTCTCCGTGTAGAAGCACGTTTTAGTTGCTCCACTCATTTGAATATCCAGTGCCACTATAGCGCCCATGCCAAGCAGCGACGTGCCTCTTTCTGCGATGTAGAACAAGACTTGTGCCTGTCGCGTCTTGAACATTACTGTCGCCGTGAAGGCACCCAGGACGTTGATGGGTTCACGGGAAAAGTTCAGTAATGTAACCGGTGGTGGCACGACTTTTGCATCACTGGCGAATCGCTGTGTGAATGTGGACTTGTCCATTATAGAAATGGACGATCCCGTATCTAACAAGAACGACAGTGGTGTCCCAAACACTTTGACGCTGATAAAAATACGGGTTTTTAAAGGCTCCCGTAATGTGATTTACGAGCCCTGCTTCATCGTCGTCATCGAAATCTGATAGAATTTGTTCAACTTCTTCACGCCGGCGCCGTTGAGAGTAAGCTCTGCGCACGCTTCTGCAAACATCGCCGAAATGACCTCGACGGCCACAGTTGTAGCAGTAAAGGTTCCGTGCTGGGCAGGTGTCATTGCTCCGGCAACGTTTCCAGCCGTGACCGCAATTGGAGAACGTGCGCCCATGACTTCTTGTGTAGTCCCGTCGGGGGGACTGGTGTCTCGCGAAGTCTTGCCGCGAACAAGTTGACGGTTTAAACTGGACCACTCTGCGGTCCGACGACTGTATGAATCCTGAGTGTCCACCTCCATAAGATTGGTCGCGACCGGTACCGCCGCAGGCTGTACAGGACGGAGCAGTCGAGGACTGTCTGTCACGCATGCTGCGGGAGGACGATCTTCACCTGTCTGCCGGCTGATGCCTGGAAGGACGACTACTGTACCGGCGCTGTGCCTCCCGAGGTGGCTCATTTCTTGAAGACGGCAGAGACCGTTGCCATGAAAAGTCTTCCCTTGCCGGTGATCTTGCTTCAAAGACTCTATTCCTGGTGGTAACCTGACAAGTTGCTTGAGCGTTCGCAGGCGGAGTTGTCAGTGACGCCCATTCTCGCACCTCACGTCGTGAGCGTTCAAGGTTCAGAACCGTTTGGATGACCACGTCAAATGGAAGAGCGGCATCCAGAACCATGCGCTCCTGAATTTCGGTCGACGCGACGCCAACCATAAACTGCTTCCGAACCTGCTCTTGGGTTTCGTTTCCGAAGTTGGCCGGAACTGCAAGTGCTCGAAGCGCCGACAGGAAGTCTTTGAGCGACTCACCCTCTTCTTGTTTCCGACTGTGAAATTTAAGCTGTTGCAGAGTTACGTTCGTAGGTTGCGTGAACTCTGCTTCCAGAAGCCTTACGGTCTCTGAGTAGACGTCTGTCGCAGGTTGACCGACAGCATCTCCGCCTCTTGCTGTTGCCGCCGTTGCTGGCGCCTGTTCAACAGCAAGCTGTGGCATTGGTAGGGAGTCGAATATTTGCTGACCGGCCTGGCCGAGGCAGTTGAGCAGCATGGCTTGCCGACCCTCTGGGTCGTAGTCTCGAGCACCAGCGGCCGACAAATATCGCTCGAACATCCTAATCCACTGTTCCCATGGAATGGGCGGAGGACCCGGCTTTGTCAAGAACTTCGGAGGAAGTCGGCCACCGGACGCCATTGTCGAGGTGACTCTGAATGGAGGCCGTTCTATTCAGCCGCCATCTTGATTGTCGCTGGGACGAAGAAGGCTTGTCCAGCAGGGTCACTCGTCGGGGCCCAACCGACGAAATTGGAGACCGAGCCGTTGCTTCCCCAGGTGAACGGTAAGGCCCAGGGACCTCCTCGTCGCCAAAAATGAATGTAGAGTCCCCGGGTGTGGGGACGTGTGTGAAGAACGACCAGTCCAGTCGGAGCTCTCAGAAAGACTCATGTCACGAGACATTCCCATTATATCCCAGAAAGATGATAACATGACAGATAGGACAACACAGAGAAGAAAAGGAAGTGATAACGAAACATGATGAACACAACATTAACGTCATGTGACTTTAACACAAACTCATTTTCCCTGCTAAATTTAGCGGGAAAATTGTCACGCGACCTGCCGTGGCTCTCTAGTATGTCTGCAGCTATACTCAGTTTCACCTTACGTTGTGCCGCAGCGAAGGCTTGGAGCGTGAGCTCATAGCGCTGGGATGCCGAGATGTGCCCTAGAGCCTGGAGCTGGCGCTTTTAGCCCTTCCTGCGGTACATCAGAAGGTGAAATAGAGTATAATCGCTTAATTAGACAACATAGTTGGTTCTGCCAGAATATTTTTTCTCTAAAGGCCACTACTGCTACTAGCACGCGTCCTAGAATGGTATGCCAAAATGACGTTAATGTCTTTGTCGTCTTTGTTTCGTCTTACTCGAAGAATAAAAGAAGACGGGAAAAAAGCAAGCGCCAACATTCCATCCGGGCAGCTCACCAGGACACGCGCCACGAAGATGCACCAACCGTCAACCTCGTCCGAAGACAGCGCCTTCCCTTTAAGAACGGCAGCAGTGAAGTCTGGACGACTTCCCAACGCCATGTCGTCCCTGTCCAGATTCAGTCTGTCACGGCGCGACGTCATCCTCACCATCCTGTTCCTGGCCGGAGCGTCCGCCATCATCGTGATTGTTGCTGTAGCGCTCCACGAGCAACACAAGCCCGAGCCGTTACGCTCCTTCTTGGACCTCAAGCCGCCCAGGGAAAACCCCTGGCAGACGCGCCACTTGCCGCTCTACTTTGAGTGCGAGTCGAAGGCCTGCAAGGCGACTGGCGACGACCTCCGCAAGAACGTCGCCTGGACTCTAAACCCATGCAGCAACTTTTACGATTACGTTTGCTCCAGCGACCGTCTGCGGACGAACGTCTATGATCACGCGGTGGCCCACTACCTTCGCGAGGTCCGTGGGTTGATGGAGAAGTACCTAAACCTCGGTTGGTTCTCAAGGACGCCGCTCTCCTCTAAGATAACCAAGTTCTTCGGTGCCTGCAAGTCCGGGGACCATACCCTGACCTCCTGGACGGAACAATTACGGCAAGTCTGGAAGCTTCTTCGGCTAGACGCGAAAGAAACGACGTCCGAAAAGATGCTGGCGGACTTCTCGAGGGCTCTCCAGACTTTCCCAGTCGTGCAAGTCTCGGTGTCCAACGCGTCCGCGAAGATGTGCATCGTCCTCACGCGACCGCGCGACCGTGGCGTCGACAAGATCTTCGACGTGCCACATGTCTTCTCGACTAACTTCATAGAGTTTGTTAGGTCACTCCTCGGATTTTCTGGTTCCAAAGCAAAGTCATATTTGGAGTCTTCGCGACTACTCAATGACACAATTCACGTCGAAACCCTGATCCAGAAGTACTCCGGTCCACATGGCGAGGAGTATCATCCGATAAAGGACTACGGAAATATTCCCGTCTCCGACATGACCAGTGGTAGTAAGGCCTTCAACTGGTACAACTATTTGCGCCGTTTTTTGGGAGGCGTCGTGAGTGTCAAGAAGGACTCCTGCGTCATCACGAGGTCGCCGTCGTATGTGAATCACTTGAAGTCCATTCTGCCGCAAGTTACCAAGGGCCAAATGAGATCTTTCTTGAAGGTCAGGGCCGCCATGGCCTTGATAGTCTTTCGAAGACTGGTTTCCGCGAAAACAAAGAACGACACTGAGAAGCTGTGCACACTGGCCACTTACAAGTTGTACCGTTACGCCTTCGTGAGAGATCTGAACGACACGTCACTGCTCCAGGTCTATGTCAGCGCCGGAGAAAAGGAGGTCATCGTCAGGATGTCCTACAGGTAAATTTAATTTGCGTCGTAGTTTAGTGTTAATGGTGTTCTAAAAGTTTTTATGATGCCTTCTTATTATTTGCACTGCCAACGTCACGAAGACGATGTTGCTCATGACCTTCATTATCTTTGCAACTTATACTAAATATGTGATTAAAGAACCAGGCGTGGACTACTTCCTTATAATCAACATCATCACCTTGACGTTCTGAACGGGCTCTACTTATTGTTGCTTAAAACAGATATACTCAGTCATCCAAGTGAGTTTTAAGCTAATGTGAAAGGTCTGGAACTTCCGCCTTGCTTGCGCTTTAATCACGAACTTTTTAAGGAGCAAGCGTTCACGGCGCCCATTCGCATACACTTTTAGCGCGCACGAAGTGAGAGCCGTACAATTATGCCACACTAATGTTTTGGGAATATTTTCCGATAAGAAGATACACTTAAGTTTAGACGGTAGCTGTTTAGACTTCGCTGTAGTCGAGAATTACTCGGTAAATATAGAAATCCCTTGTAACCATCGTCTACTTTTAGGCCTTAAACATCCGTAGGTCGATCGTTAATATTTTTGTCGAAGTCACGCCACTTTCAGTGACTGTCAACAAAAACTAACTGTCTGTGCATCGCTAAGAAAGGGAAGATTGCCATTTGGGAAAACCGTAATCTTATCTTTGATATGCATCCTAATAAAAGCAAACGGGTATCGTTCGTTGCATAGTTTTGATTCTCCCATGCAACTTGCCACAAACGCAGAGGCATCCTTACGGACGACGGACCTGTAACGGAGGTCCACAAGCAAGTAGACTTGGCTATGAAGAAAGCCAAGACTGAATACTTCCACTTGATGAACAACGTTGACAGCTACTATGCCAGTGACACCACCAGCTACGCTGACCGAAAAAAACTGGCCCTCAGTTTCGTTCACGCCCAGCTGGCCATGGCCCTTCCCTGGCTGCGAACTGTCGTCTCCTCCGGTGGCAAGGTCCAAGACAACCAGTTAGACATCCGCTGGGACTTCGATCCTGACAGCCAGGTTCTTGCCGTTCCTGTTTCCATCTCTCCTGTTAGGATAAAGGGTGAGAAGGAATTCTTTCTTGAGTCGACCACGCTGGGAGGCGCCATGGTACGGTTCCTCTACAAGGCCTTCCACGAATCCTCGCTCTTCAAGTCTTCTAAAACTCCAGACGGACGGTATCGCAACGGAACGCCCATGGCTTGCTTCGAGAAGCAGTACGGCTCACGCTCTATAGGCAGCAAGAAGGTGAACGGTCGGCGTGTACTGCGAACGGTTACGTCCGACAATGCTCTGGTACCGGTTTTACACAAGGCGTTCAAAACATCTCTGTACATCCACAAGATCGAGGTTATCAACTACAAGAAGCTGGAGATGTATTTGGCCAACCTTCCCGACGTCGACGCTGACCAGCTCTTCTTCTTAATGCTCGGGCAGACCTTCTGCGATCCTTACGAGGACACGAGAAAGGTCCTGGCACAGGCGCCCTTCCCGCCGTCTAAGATTAGGCTTAACGTGGCGCTGGCGAACTACCCCGCCTTTGCAAAGGCCTTCAAATGTAAGAACGACACGGTGATGAACCCGAGGAAGCGATGCTCAGCGTTTCGATCCAAGTGACTCATTCAAACTTTTTTCTGGTTCACAAGCTAGCACTCGCGTTGAGGGATGGAATCGTGATGCCAAGCTTCTAAAAAAGACGCCTCGTTTTAAGTGACTGTTGTTTGTGTTTCTTTCAAACAGCGATTGACTTATAAACGCAGTATAAATCCAAACTTGTGTGCGTAAAGCAACCCGAATTGTGTATCATATTTTGTATTTGTTGTGGACTGTATATCATGTATGGGGCATTGTAGGACCGTGTTTTCAAAGCTTGTATTTTTCAAATGTCTTTTTTTTCGTTCGTGTACTTTCCAATAAGTATTTTGTAAATAAACTGGCGTCATTTGTTTAGTAATAATACTTCATTAAATAAACAACCCCTCGCCCTCTCGGAGCCAGTCTGGATTTGTGAGATATTTTTTAGCGAACAAGCATATTGTTTGAAGGTAAACATCTTCGACAGACGTCTGTCTGGTTGGGAAGTGATAATGGAAAAATATTTGACTGCAACCAAAAATTAAACTCGGACCCAACGTTTCAAAACCAGTTCGGTTTCTTCTTCAGGGGCGATTGATCTCGTGCGTGGGAGCAGCCTCGTCTTCTTTGGTGATACGAATATTTTCTAATCGCGCTTCCGCCTTGCCATCCAGTCTTTTTTCTAATCCCGTGTCGTAGTCCGCTCACATAAACAGATGGTAAAGTAAGTCCAAAATACCAAAAACAAAGTCCAAAATACGTCCAAAATACACCAGGAAACATCAACAGATCTATGGGTACCTTACCATCTGTTTATGTGAGCGGACTACGACACGTGATTAGAAAAAGACTGGATGGCAAGGCGGAAGCGCGATTAGAAAATATTCGTATCACCAAAGAAGACGAGGCTGCTCCCACGCACGAGATCAATCGCCCCTGAAGAAGAAACCGAACTGCTTTTGAAACGTTGGGTCCGAGTTTAATTTTTGGTTGGAGTCAAATATTTTTCCAAGCATATGGTTTAATCTAACTGTGGCAATACCCTTTACTGCGAGTACGACCTCATAATGACCCTACATTCAACATCAAATCTTCAGTGACCGTTCGTTGTTTACGAATTCTCGAACCCTATGTTCAAAACCTCTAATTGCATCACGTTTTGGCTTGTCGTTGAGAAAGAAGAAATTGTTTCGAGCTCTCGCGACTGTTTTCATTATTTTCACAGCGCGCCAGTGGCTAACAGTTTTTCGAGTTAGACCGAAGATCGGCTACTCGGTGCAATGGCTGTTCTCGAAACGGCACGTTCCTTCGCACCACTCTCTTATTGCTTTCATTGTCTGCGTTGGAGTCCGTTTAGCTGTTTCTTCAGGGTCGTAGCCCGGGGGGGCTCAGCTGGCTTGGGATTTCGAACCCCTCTTTATGGGAACCTCTTTGTTTTGTTTTTTTTGTTAGTCCTGCTCTTGTTGTTTTTAGCGTTTAGCGCAAGTTGGTGTCGCTTTCTTTTTTGTGTACAACCGGGGTCATGACGAAGGCAGCAATTCTCCAGGGCCCACTTCCAAACCATGTCTTAACATCCGAGAGCTCTTATTCTTTGCGTTCCTTTCCTTTTCCACTACTTTTCTCCTGCACCCTTTCTACGTTTAGTAACGGCTGGATGGCCGTTGAAACGCAATTTGTTACTCTCCCCTTACCAAAAAGTCAGTTGTTGTCGTCTTTTCTTTTTCTTTTTCTTTCTTTAGACCGTGGGGTCAGCAGTGTACCTAAGGACGGTGGGTTCTTTCTAAAAAGGGCGTTTACTTTATGCGTGAAGCAGGCTGCCTGTTTCTGCTCGTCACGCAGGGTAGGCATGTAGGGATACGACTTCTCGTTTGGGTTTTCCTGCGCACATCAGTGGCTTCATTTGTCCGCTCGGCGCACTACCCCAAAAACTGAATTTCTCGTCTTATACTTTTTTTCCTTTTCTGGGTAGACCGTAGAAGCAGTTTAGGATGCAATGGAACAATAGATGGCCGCGGACGGCAGAGGGGTCCCCTTGGGTCCAGTATGAAAGGCTCTGGGCTGCAATGTTCTCACGTCTGAGATGTTTCTCTTCTCTCTCTCCCTTTCTCTTTCTCTCTTCTTGTCTCGAGTGATTCAAGGATCCATGATCGGGTCAGCACTTTCTCCATCAGAGCAACTTTCTTTTTCGCTGCCGCCATAAAATATTCACAAAAGCCCATATCAGAGTACTAGAGACACGGAGTTTCTCTGAGGATATTATGACAGAATTGTCGCGGACATGCCTCAAACATGATCGAAGCATGTTTGCTTCACACATTTCTATGCTTTGTATATGTCTGCAGACAGTCTTTGTGCGACCAATGTTGCCCGCCGTGCTAGAAAGAAGCGGGCTCAGACAGTATCTGCCGCAGGCTGTCTTTTGTATGAGGTATTAGCGGTGCGGCCCTCGGTTTAACAACGTCCATCCCAGCGCGTGCTGACGACCAGCTTCGGCAATATTCCCTTCTGAAGCATCGATCGACCATCGCACCTTCGAATTAACCGTTCTTAGCAAAACGTTAAGTCGAAGCTTGTCGTTCTGAGCATTCGCCGTGAGCCCCAGGCTCAAATATGGCGTCCGGAGAATACCTGCTATTAGACCTGCCGTAATTGTCAAGGTGCAAACGCTTCTTTTTGCGTCATTATTCGTGAGATGTTCCTGGTTACTTCTGTATACTGGTCGTCACCTCAAGAAATAAAGTAAGTTTTGGTGATTGTTCTTACGCCCATGGGAAGTAGTTCTTCCACGATTTGGTTGTAAAAGGAAGATTCGATGCTTTTGGCGCTTTTGAAACGTTTACGTCTGGATAAAATAACGTATTGTCTAATTCGAAATGCGCCTACATATTTCTTAATACTCCGCATAAAGGCAGAAATGTGTGATGCTCCGCAAAAAGTAGGACTTTTTTTTTTTTTTTTTTTTTACTATGCTGTTTGAGGTGAAAAGGAGCACAGAGTCACTGAATGAGTTCTGTGCCAAAGGACTTCAGACCCATTGTTGCTTAAAAACCTTGTTACGCAGCTGTCCGAAGCTTTATCTGGAAATGCAGGGAACGCTTTGCCGTCCTCAGAAAATGTTACAGTCGTCCGCCATAGTGCCACTAAATAAGCTACGCTTCAGAGTAACGACACTTGGCCATATTGTGTCTTAAAATCATGGTTGCCAGTTATCTGAAGCTTTATCTGAAATCACAGGAAACGCCTTTCCGCCCGGCACAAATGTTTAAACAGTTCGTAACAGAGCAAAGCAATATTGCGTGACCTTCTTAACAACGAATCTAAATCTGAGGAAATCGCACTTTTGAATCGTGACGATCGGCAGTTGCGTCTGCTCTGCATACGAGCCAAAATGGCGGCGCCCACAACAATGCCGGGGAACGGAGTGCCGATACTCTAAGCGCAGCTCATATAGTGACTCTAGTCTGCCACAGAGCGAAACAAAAAGATTCTGACACCGTAACTATCACTCAAAATGTCTCATTAAAAAAAAAAAAGAAAATAACTATTAGACAGTTTTAGTGGACCGTACACTGTTAGCAAAAATAACACGCCCAGACGTGTAAACCGTTGTCCCATAGCGGACACGTCGAAACGTGTTCGTTTTACACGAGGCCATCTGTGTTTTTCGTCTACACATGAGGTGCTGTGTAAACTGAACACGCTACACCGTGTCTGCCTTCCGCAAAACCGTTTCGAGCGTGTTCCTTATGAAACATGGCGGCCAGCGGCTGAGAACAGGCGAGAGACGAGCCCAGCGAGCCGCGCGCCTTTCAGCCGAATTGAAAGCACACAGGGCGCGTTAGTTCTCGTTCGATGTCTTTCATACACAGTAAAGTCTCCAAGCGGCGGACGTAGCTTCTTGCAAAGGTACGTACGTGCGTTGTCGGCGGTCGGCGGCGTCGGTAGCTTCAACGAACCGCTAGACAAAAAAAAAAACGAATGCCGAACTTACATGGATAAATAACTTGAGCAAACTATTTAGAATCGGGCGGTAACTTGCGCCACCTATCAAGATTTCTAGCGGCCTGTTTTTAAAAAAAAGACGAGTCTGTTAACACTGCGAACGACCACGACTACACAGCGACCCTACATACGACGCAGGCAACACAGCACACAGCTACACAGCACCGACATGTACACAAACACAACAACCGACACTATGCCCGACACTTCTCACCGCGGCGCATATAAGCTTGACATGTGCGGGTAAGCTCTTTGGTCGCTGACCATTACAGATTTATAGAAGAATACACAAAACACGGCTCAATCGACAGCCGTGTGTTAGAACTGTTTGCATTTAAAAAGTATGGAGGCAAAATCTATAATGTTAGTCCGTTGCAATAAATAACGATCTGTTAACAATAAATCTTAAACCGGTCATGAAAAAGTTCAAATTTTTGTTATTTTCTTGTTTGACCAGTGTTATGAGCAGTCCGACTAGCTTGAATCAGATAGGAAAACAGATTATTGGGATTTTGTCATTACGTATACAATAATAAATGAAAATGATCCTTGCGCAAAGCATTTTTTATATATTTTTGTGAACGACATCCGGACATCCGCCCAACACTTCACTTCCGCTAGTTGCAGCAGTTGCAGTTAGGGGTGTCGCGAACCGGCCGCGGTTCGAGTTCGACCAGGTTCCACTTTTTCGACCTTTTAGTGGAAAGTTCGACGAACCTTGAATTGAGGTTCGACTCGTGTGCGCATGCGCGACAGGCTGGCCAGTTGGCTTCGGATTGGATGGTAACGGCTAAGAGATGAATTAAGTGCAGCGCTGATTAGCTATTTCAGTCAATACAGTATTAAAAATTAAGTTATTAACTTCTTCAGTGATTAGAATTAGTTTCTTTTAATTGCAGCTGTTCACAAAATAAAATAAACCTTTGCATTAAAAAAAAATCTCCAAACCTAGACATGCTTGTATCAAGGTCTGGCCACACTGTCCACAAAGTCGAACCGGTCGAATCTGGTGAAAAGGTCGAAGGTTCGTCGAACCGGTT